CTAATAAAATATAAAAAAAAAAAAAAATCAGTTAAAAAAAATAACAATTGAAAAAAACACATTTCCCACCTTAACTAACATGCGTATACCATAAACCTCACAAGTCACAAAACCCCAAGAAAAAAACAGCACTCCCAAAAATAAAATAAAAACCATTTTAAATTTCTTTTCCAAAAATAATAAAAAAAGCAAAAATCCCAACACGCCACACACACACACACTAAACAGACTGCAGCACCAAACCTTCTTCATCCACTCCTGATTTCAGGCACCCACAACATCTGTACTATTCTCTCTATACTAATCACTAATCACCCGCCTATACATACAATCGATACATACAACCCCACCCTCTATATAACGGCCCCGTCCTTTCACCTACTTCCTCATGCTATGCTAACAATCCCCAACCCCAAAACAATACCCCACCAAAAATACTTCCATTCTCTATTCTCTAAACCACCCCACATGGCCTCAACGGAAAACTGCGCCGCCGTCGCCGCCGCAGCTAACGCCCCTCGCCGCCACAAGAAGGTCGTCGTCATAATGGGCCCCACCGGCTGCGGCAAGTCCAAGCTCTCCGTCGACCTCGCCTCCCGCTTCTTCCCCTCCTCCGAGATCATCAACTCCGACAAGATCCAAATCTACTCCGGCCTCGACGTCACCAGCAACAAGATCCCCCCGCCGGAGCGACGCGGCGTCCCCCACCACCTCCTCGGCGACTGCAGCCCCGCCGACGAGTTCGACGCGGCCGACTTCCGCGCCGCCGCCTCCTCCGCCATCTCCCAGATCTCCTCCCGCCGGAATCTCCCCTTCGTCGTCGGCGGCTCCAACTCCTTCGTCTACGCCCTCCTCGCCCGCCGCTTCTCGCCGGACGCCGTCGCCGCCCTCTCCGGAGACGCCGGCACGGCGGCCCTCTGCCGGGAGCTCCGGTACAGCTGCTGCTTCATATGGGTAGACGTCTCGCCGGCGGTGCTGAACGAGTACCTCGGGAAGAGGGTCGACGAGATGATGGAGGCGGGGATGCTGGAGGAGCTGGCCGAGTACTTCGCGGGCCCGGAATCGGGCCGTGGCGGGCTGGAGAAGACGATCGGCGTGCCGGAGTTCGCGAGCTACTTCGAGCGGTACGGCGGCGACTGGAGGGTCGACGGCGGCGGCGGCGGCGACCCGGAGAAAAGGAGGGCGTACGAGGAGGCGGTGAGGGCGGTGAAGGAGAACACGTGCCAGCTGGCGAAGAGGCAGCTGGGGAAGATACTCCGGCTGAGGGACGCGGCCGGGTGGGAGCTGAAGAGGGTAGACGCCACGGCGGCGATTAGGGCGTCGATGGAGGGCGCGGGGCGGAGGAGAGTGGCGGACGCCTGGGAGAAGGACGTGGTGGACCCCAGCGTGAAGGCGGTGAAAAGGTTCTTGATGATGGATTAATTAATTAATTAACTAAGTAATTAGGTCCTTCATCCATTCCCCGCCCAGAAGCCGTCTTTGCTTGATTAGGCCTCTTTTACTGCTAATTAGTGATTACTATTAATATATTAGTTTAAATTACTACTTTTTTTTTGTTTTAAATAAAATTAATTTTGTTTTTATGTTTTTTTTTTTATTTTGGGTGTATTTTTGGGCTGAGCGTTTTATATGTAATGCCTTTTTTTCCTTCTTTTTTCTGGGGTTGAGAAAAAAATAAATTAGATGTAGTTCGGTTTTATTTACGTACTGTCCCTAACTAAAGATGAATGCAATTATGTTATTATATGACTATATGAGAGTTGATATAAATAAAATATTTCAAGTTATATATTTTCTGCAGTAATTTTTGTGTTTTCCTTTATGGGGAATGTGAATAATTTAAAATTCTGATTCAGCAAGTCGAAACAATAATGCACAGTAAGGGTGATATTTGGTAGGAGGAACGGTACTTTTATTTATCAATTTTTAACAAATATTCGTACTTTTGAATCCAATTATCTACTTTAATAAATAAAATTTAGAACATGTTTGGTGATAAAACAATATTGGAATATAATTCTGTGACAATTTTGAGAATGTCTCTGTACATAGAGAAATGAATATAGCTGAGTGATAGTAACGTCTTTTTCGTATTTTCTTCTATGTTGTAAGTATAGACACTCAGTACAACAAATGGTACAAGGTTTCACCTTTTGCTGCGTGGGCATAAA